CAATAGTGTCTCACATTGTATACTGGGGTTCAATGATTGAATACTCTCTCATTTTTTGTGCCACCTCTGCTGCTGTGCCACCTCTGCTGCTGTCTCACTCTCTGCTGCTGTCTCAGTCTCAATAGTGTCTCACATTGTATACTGGGGTTCAATGATTGAATACTCTCTCATTTTCTGTGCCACCTCTGCTGCTGTCTCACTCTCTGCTGCTGTCTCAGTCTCAATAGTGTCTCACATTGTATACTGGGGTTCAATGATTGAATACTCTCTCATTTTCTGTGCCACCTCTGCTGCTATCTCAGTCTCTGCTGCTGTCTCAGTCTCAATAGTGTCTCACATTGTATACTGGGGTTCAATGTATTAGGTTAGTGTCGTCCACTAATATTTCTTCAAATATCGCTTGCTAACATAAAAAAAAGTTTTCTTGTGATAACAAAGACAAACCTCGTCAATCAATGACATTTAACTGACATAAGCACATTCCATAGAGTCTATCGATCACCTGGTTCTTCTAAATGTTACATGTCAGCTGCATATCTTAATTCCATAGTCCTATTATTTGATCCAATCCAGATTTATACTATAAACGTTACTCTTCCGCTGGACAAGATTTATTGAGAATCCACGATATAAATGTAAAATAAAAATCGACATATCATAAAAGCGATCTACGATTTTCCATGGCCAGTCATAGTCTACGGGTTAGCATGTTTGGACTAAGGTTCAGGGTTCATGTCATGTTGCCGATAAAATGCATTTTGCACTGTAGGGCCGTGGGTGCATTATAAATATGAAGGTCAAATCTCACAATTCGGTCAGACAAGAGCAGCCCAAGAGTTGGCAGTGGGTGCTGTTGTCTAGCTGCATTCCCTCTAGTCTATAAGTTCAAAATAAGGAACAGTTATGTGCATATAGTCATTATTATAAAGAAACACAAACAATAATTTCTTTCTAAAAGACTTTTATCGCTGCTTATGCACATGTTAATATATGGTATACATATATAACATGTTATATGTAAGACACTGGTGATCTCTGAGCGCAGAAATGCTAACCTATTAGACATTGAACTTGGAAATATCACTGAAATGAAAAGTTTTATTTGATTTTACATGATGTCATTTTGAGAATATTTAACTGCAGCTAAAGTCGATTGATAAAGAAAAGGGGATAATTTGCTCTATATGCTATACTACATATTGTATTATGACAAAAAAGGTTGTCTATAGCTCTTGTTTGTTTGTTTTAGAGCAAAGTCCCATTGGGCTATCTGCGATGTTTGCCGCGAAAAATCGAATCCATAGACTTACGAGGGACATTGTTTATAGAAACAGTTTTTTGTTGTATTAATAGCATGAAGGCCAAGATTATTTCAGAAATATTTATAATAATAGAATTAAGTATTATAGTTCAAATTTACATTAACGTTATTAACGAAAGGAATGGGTTTAAATCTAAAGGGGCAACAAAACAAAACAGGGTGCTCTATTAGTCTCATGCGTACCAACTCCGTTAAGTTTTAATTGTGGTTCTCAGTGTTTTAATATTGTTTATCAAACAAACCTACTTTGATCCGAGCAGATACTTAATAAAAGCCATCTTGCATTCATATTTTTACCAGAAAATAAACTATTTCCATTCACGATCACTGCATAAATTCTGACTAACAAAACCTGCTCATGCTAAGAAATACATTTCCAGTGTAAAGTAATACTACAGTTCATGTCATGAAATTCATTTCTCATGTGTGGTAAAATCACAAGTTGCAATGTAAACTTAGCTCTTCAAATGTCTAGATTATGATTCGAAAATGAACTGAATTTCCATTCCGAGAGTTAATAACATAACATTTTGCTTTTATGGTAGCTTTTGGTGATGCTTTAAACTGCGAAACTGTATATAATGTGCTTACCAGTTTTTCGGGGTGCGTGAAAAATATATATGTTATTCAAATGATACGGAATTACATCGGTAACAAGTTTTAACTGTGAAGAAGGTAAATGATTTTAAAACGAATTATAGCAAAGAAAACAAAATAGTTAAGATCTCTCAAAACGACTATCTTGTCTCCACATTCCAGGAAAATTCCAGTCTTTTAAGCAGTTCTCCAGATACAGTGAATATAATCACGTTGAAATACAAAAACGAGAACAAAACAAATAACGCTGAATAAATGCACAGTGATTATCGTTGACTCAAAATAAACAACCGTTTAATGTCAATCACTTGTATGCCAATATTCCTAATATCCATCCCTGTAGAGTATCATTCAGTTAGGAATTTTCTAGCAACGCGAATCTTCAGGTTGTTTTTTTTTTATAACCACGAGGCAATTAGGACTATATATTTTGGTAGAAATTTTAGACAGACAAGAAGCATTAGCAAGAGTAGCGGACTACTGAAATACTGTTTACTAAACTAACGGCATTCTCAATACTTAAGCTCATCGTATTATGTATGAAGGTATTCAGTGAGAAAATTCAATGCATTGCTAAGGAATTCAAATTATTCTATAGCTTAAATTAAATTATCTTTGTTGAGTAGAATTTCTTTCTGACGAATAAGGAAATGTTTATGTGACTGTTTCTTGGATTGTTTGTTTTT